CTACTATCTCCTTATCGGATACCACCACATCAACATGGATGGGATTAGTCTGCAGGTGGTTTTGAAAGATCTCGAAGCGGTCTACAACGGAAGGGCGCTGGGGTCCGAACCACTTCAATATCACCAATTCTCTACCTGGCAGTACCAGCTGGTAGAGAGCAACGCCGTTCAATCCGATATTGAGTACTGGCGCAATGAGCTGCGCGATATGCCTGATATTCTCCCCATCTTGTCTGTCTCCACACGGTCAACCCGCCAGCCAATGCTGCGATATGCGCATCATCGCGTAGACTTCAAGATCCCGCGAACTCTCGGAGCGAAGATMAAGCAAGTCGCACGCAAACATCGAGCCACCTCGTTCCATTTCTATCTGTCCGTGTTCAAGGCTTTGCTATACTGCTTCTCAGGAAGTCACGACCTCGTCATCGGGGTGGCCGACGGCAACAGAAACCATCTCAGCGGCGCACCCGACAGTGTGGGCTTCTATTTGAACCTTCTACCAGTCCGCTTGCGCGGAGATGGTCAGCGTCAATTCACGCAGGCGCTAGAAGAGGCACGTACCCAAGCGCATTCGGCCCTGGCGCATTCCAAAGTCCCCATCGACGTGCTATACAATGAGCTGCGGATCACCCGATCATCATCATACACTCCCCTATTCCAGGCTTTTGTGAACTATCGTCAAGGCGCGCAAGAGAGTCTGCCGTTCGGTAATTGCCGTCTTGAAGGCGATAAATATGAAATTGGGAAAACGGGGTACGACATTATCTTGGATGTGATCGAGAACACGGAGTCCGAGGCCACCATCATGTTTGTGACGCAGAGGTATCTGTACTCGGCGGAGCAGACCGAGATCCTAGCGGCCAGCTTCAAGCAGCTGCTGAGCGCCTTCAGCCAGGATCCGGAAACCCGGCTGGATGAAGCGCAGCCGTACGCGGCTGAGGATGTTGAAAAAGCTATCGTGTTGTCACAGGGCCCAAAATATGCGCTGCAGTGGAAAGGCACTCTGGTAGACCGCGTTGACGAAATGGTTGCTCGCTTCCCCAAACGGCCCGCGCTCGAGGATGGTTCGCTATCTTTGACATACGCGGAGACGTCTGTCCGCGTGCACGCCATCGCCGCGCTTCTGTTGAGTCACGGTGCAGTTCCCGGTTGGAAAGTGGCTGTGTTCCAACAGCCTACCATCGACTGGGTCTGCTGCATGCTGGCTGTCCTCCTGATAGGAGCGGTATATGTCCCGTTTGACCCTAAGCTTTCACTCCCTCGACTCCAGCGGGTCGCCCAAAGCTGCATGCCGGAGGCGGTTCTCTTTCACTCAGCTACCGCAAATGATGTCCCTGAGCTGCTGGCAGGACAGCCCGACGTGATCTCCATCGACGTCGCCGGGGCGGCGATGACGAACCAAACCACTGTCGCGAATCGATCAAAGCCAGATTCCGCCATGTTCATCCTGTACACAAGTGGCTCCACAGGCCAACCCAAGGGAGTCATCCTCCCCCATTCGGCATTTTCCCATAAGATCGAAACATCAAGCCAGATGTTCGAGCTCGGACCAGAGATGGCTATGCTTCAGCAGAGTGCGCTAACGTTCGACATGTCCGTTGCGCAAGCATTCATGGCCCTATGCAATGGAGGTCGCCTGTTTATACTCCAAAGGGAATACCGTGGCGACCCAGCCGCGATCCTCGATCGGATTCTAGAACGCGAACTGACCCATACCATGGCAACTCCCTCGGAGTACGAAAGCTGGTTGCAACTCGCCAACTCGCTGCCCCAGCAAGCGTCTGCCCTTGCCGCGTCCAAATGGCAAGTTCTGTTTTCGGGCGGTGAAAAAATCAGCGACAGCCTCAAGCACGAGCTCCGGACGCTCGACAAGCAGGACTTGCACTTACAGAACGTGTACGGACCGACGGAGGTGAGTATCTTTTCGCACTCGTTCCGGGTCGACTACCGTTTACTTTCCAATAAACCCGTGCCTTTAGGCCCTGTCAATGCGAATTACTCTGCTTTTGTGGTGGATCGTAATCTGAAGCCGGTGCCAGTTGGGGTGCCAGGTGAAATCGTCATTACCGGCCCTGGAACTGCACTCGGATACCTGAATAACGAGGACTTGACCCGTGAGAAATTTGTTCGGTTCACGCTTCCACGATCCAGCTCCGTGAGCGTCAGGGGCAGGGATGTGCGAGGGTATCGTACCGGTGATCGCGGCAGGATGCGACCGGACGGTATCTTGGATTTCGAAGGCCGAATTGGTGGTGACACCGAGATAAAGCTTCGAGGTCTGCGCATGGACCTGAACGATATCGAATGCGCGCTGCTTGAGGCGGCGCAAGGACGGCTGACGACGGTCATCGTCACGGTTCGAGGAGACGCTGACGCGCAGTACCTCTTAGCGCATGTGGTGTTCCATCGCAAACAGCAACAGCAATTGAGTTCGGAGGAGCAACGAGCGTTCGTGGATGCTCTCACGCCGCGCTTGCCTTTGCCCCAGTATATGTGGCCGGCAGCGGTTATTATTGCCGACTCGTTGCCCGTCAACACACATGGCAAGGTAGACCGACGCGCGATCGAGGCCCTGCCCTACCATGTCACTCCCCTCATCAGCACCACAGGCATTGAATCCAGTCTCACCGAAGCAGAGGCACATCTCCGAACGCTGTGGAAAAAGATCTTACCCCCGGCAGTAGCCCAGCTGCATCAAATCGGCCCCATGTCGGACTTCTTCCACGTGGGGGGAAACTCAATGCTCCTTGTGAAACTCCAGCAATCCATCACCCGAGCCTTTGGTCGGAAAATCGCGCTGGTCGACTTGTTCGAGCGGACAACTCAGGCCAAGATGGCCGCGTATATCGCCAGCACCGACGCCACCGACAAAACCTGGGACAGGATCGACTGGGCCCAAGAAATCGTCCTTGACGCAGACCCCATAGCAACCCAACCTCTGCAACCCAAACCACGCCGCAACCAGCAAGGCCAAACCATCATTCTCACAGGCGCAACAGGCTTCCTCGGCCAAGTCCTCCTCCAGCAACTCCTCGCAGACCCCACCATAAAATTGGTCCACTGTATCGCCGTCCGATCCCCCTCTCGCCTGCTAGCCACCATCCCCTCCGACTCCGTGTCCCGGGTGACCATCCACTCAGGCGACCTCGCCCTCCCTCTATGCGGCCTGGATCCCGGCACCAGCGACCGCATCTTCGCATCAGCAGACACAATCATCCACAACGGCGCGGACGTGCACTTCCTGAAAACCTATCCAGTCATGCACTCCGTCAACGTCGCCTCCACAAAATGGCTAGCGCACCAGGCCCGCACTCACCACCTAGCCCTGCACTTCGTCTCGACAGCCAGCGTGATCCAATTCGCACCACCATCGGAAACCAACACAGGATTCCCCGCTACCTCCGTCGCAGCCTTCCCTCCACCTACCAATGACGGTAGCGGAGGCTATGCAGCCAGTAAATGGGTGAGCGAGATGTATCTCGAGCAGGCAAGTCAGCAATGGGGCGTAAACGTGCACATCCACCGACCGACGGCCATCACGGGCCCCGAAGCACCAGTGCAGGATATTTTTCCGAATGTGGTGCGGTTCTCGCGGGCGATGAGAGCTGTTCCTGTGTTAAGGAGCGTTTTGGCGGGTTGGCTTGATTTTGTGGATGTGGAAAACGTCGCGAGGCGGATTCTCGCGCTGGTGAGGTCTGACCGTCACGACCGAGACAACGGCCGAGCGAATGAGGAACCACCAAAGTTCCATCATCACGCTGGGGACGTGGTGATGCCTGTGGAAGGGTTCAAGGATCATTTGAGGAAAGAGACTGGGGAGTACGTCCGGACCTTGGAGCTGGCGGACTGGATCCAGCAGGCGGTGCAGGCGGGGATGAGCCCCATGGTTGGAGAGTATCTTAGATTGTTGGCGAGGCAGCAGGAACCGATCTTCTTGCCTTTGGTTTTGCCCTCTTGATGTTTTTATTTCTTTTTCTTGTTGATTGTTGAAGATGTTTTTAGATTGTTTGTTAGACAAATACTGTACACGGGATAGAAAGGAAACTTGATAGATAGACGTGATTGAAAATTACAAGTGAATGTTACATGACCGATTTTCACCATTGAAGTCGACGGGGGATTGCCGTATCTAGACTGGTCGTGGATTGGATATGGGTTGATCCACATGATGTTTGATCCAACCCAGATAGATTATGGTTGATCCACCACCTATCCAACCCAATCTTATATCCATGTGGATTGGATAATGGATATATCCATACTACCTAGTCAGGTGACCTCTGGTATTTAGATTACTACCTATTTTTCTAGTATTCTAGCCACTCTACCAAGATATCTATAAATTATATTATATAATATAGTTTACTATATAAATAATTAAATATTATATATTACCTATTAGATAACCTAATATAGGCATAATTAGGGAGGTAGGGGTGCCCCCTAAGGGTGGGATGAAAAGTAGTGCGGACACTGCGGAGATATATATATCTACCACAACTATCCTGATTGCCAACCTTTATAATCTAAAATCTACTATAACTCTAGTTTCTCTTAGTAGATCTAATATTTTTATTTTATAAATAGATAAATAGGACTATTCTCTATCTGTAGATATAAGAATATTCCCCTATCTAGGCCTAGGTTAGGTTAGATAAGCTTATCAGCTTCTAGAGGCCCTAGATCACATGATTCACATCATTCACATGCACCCAATGGGTTATCCATATCCATATAGATTAGGCAGGTTCAACCCATATCCACGTGGGTTGGATCAGGCCTACCTAGATCCAACCCAAATGTGGATTGGGTGGGTTGGATATGGATTTGTGGATTGGGTGAGCCAGTCTAGCCGTATCTATGAAAAGCCTGAACGATGAAAGGCATAATGACCACAGGATTCTAAGTAATGAGGGGATCTACGAGCTGTATTGTTCTAGAAAAGCAACATAGGGAACTCCTTCTCAGCGCCGAAGATTTTCTCGTCCTCCTCATCATTCTTACAGACAGGTATCATTAATACACTTGCGGATCTTCTTGACGAGCATCCGCAACGGCACCAACCGAGCCGCACGGCCCCCAGTGGAACCGGTCCAGTCCGGAACGGCAGGTCCGCGGCCACTGCGGGCCTCCTGCAGCGCCAGAGCCTCCAGAACAGACATATACGTCCCCGGAGCGGACAGAATATGCCCCGCACCTGTCAACAGGATCTCCACGCCGCGGTCGATGCGTTCGAGCAGATCGCAGCTCAGCTGCAAGACTACTGTGATCTGCAGTACTCCGTCTAGTTTCAACGTCGACCCGTCCAAGTGCACGTTAGAGAAGGGCGCGGAGCCCGAGAAATTGTCCAGGACGGCTAGTGGGCCGGTCAGATCGCCTGCCGGGGTGTATCGCGCGACGAAGGACCGGACGGAGGCATACAGATCGGTGAGAACGCTGCGGTACAGGCGGATGAGCAGCACGTGGCAGGTCATGATAGTTAGACAGATGGGGAATTGAGTCTGGCAGGCGGGTGGGAGGGCTGGATGCGGTCTTCGCAGTTTCTTGTCGGGGTGGCTGTTGCTGCTGCTCTTCTCCTGGCCTCCTCGGGACCAGGCTTGATTTCGCCCTGTGCCGGAGCCGGGAGGGGATGCAGTTGACAGATTGTCTAGGGCAGGTAGTGTGAACCAGGATGAGGTGTCCTGAGCTGGGGCTGAAACTGGGCGATGATTGCCATGATACATGAGGTCCTCGTCGTCCGAATCCCGGGATGAGTCTGTTGCAGCACGATCTGGCGGTGGAATGCTGCAGACTGACTGGCGATAGGAGGAGACGAAGGATTGGATGATTTCGAGGAAGGTTTGTGAACAGCGCATCACCTGGTGCATTGGATGGTCACTCTGGGTGTTTGCAACGTCAGACAAGCGCGAGCCGAGAGGGTGCGTGTCGGCCGATGAGCCATTTGGGAAGGGTTCGGTTCGGTCCGTCACCTGGCTTTCGATCMGATATACGTGTTCCAGGAGCGTGCTATGAAGCTTCCACAAGCGCTCGATATTCTCCTCCTGAGGGTTGACGGCTGTGAAGTCGGTCGGGCCGACTGCGTCGGGCTGCGAGCCCATGGCCAGATCGGCGAAAGCAGATGTGTCGAATACACTCATGCTTGGAAAGTCAAGATCATAACCCATATCTCCCTCGTTGAAGCCCAGTTCTGGTAGCTCATTCATCGCATCCATTCCGCCCATGACGAGGTCGGGTAATCGGCGGGTGGTGGTAGAGGAGGGTGGGGTCGAAGAGTCAGCCCCAGTGTCGTTGGATCGCGTTTCATCGGACGCCTTGCTAGATTTGCGACTGTAACGACGTTTGGGATTCAGGGAGCGCGGTCGGCCCATAGGCATGGGAGCGCTGGTGACACAGGCCAAATTGTTTCGGGCGCAGCGATCGCACGCGATTGACGTATCCATCMGGTGGGCCGTACGATCACATCGAAGCTTCTGACTGCGACACCGGTCACAGGCGTGGCGTCGGAATGGCCTCGGGTTTTGACTTCCAGCATCAGACTCAGCCTGTGGTGTAAGGCGGTTCATTTTTATTCGCAGAACAGCTTGATAACTTTGATATAAATCGGATGAACTGACGGACTGCAGATGAAGCGAATGGACTGACTTGGGGTACGTATAAGTAATGGTAAGTCTTCCACACATATTGAGGGGGCCTGGAGCACTCTAAGGGCGTATGAGCTACACTGGTAACAGTATCAAGTATGCATAAGTGCTTGTAAGCGATCTACTAGTTGAGTAAAGTCTCCTGCAACATCACGAGGAAAGGTGGGGCCCCCGGAATAGTATTATTGTCTACCAGCTTGGCCACAACAGAAACCTCTCACCTGAAGATAGTCAGACTGCGGCCTCTTCCCTTAGGTCTAGTCCCCAGGCTCAGTTGTTCCCCAAGCAGCGGGGTTTGAGTGTCTAATGAAGACGACTCCGTATTTCTTGGTAGGGGCCGGTTTTACTCCAGTCAGACCTGGTGATTTCGTTAGTTCGCTCCACCGACGGCACTAAAATCCACCCCGCTCTAAGCCATGAAGCCTGGACATAGTGGTCAGAATCTGGCCTTAAATAGAGCCATTCTATCGCTAGTTTTTAGCTGGATTCAAGTCCTTGTTGCAGCCCTGTTATGGGACGAACAGAGATGGATCTTCCTATCTAAGCGTGCCGTATCAACAAGAAGGATTAGCTGGGGAACAGGAAGTTGGGCGGGGTCGCTAGGTGTCAACAAACCACCATTCCGGCGAATGGTAGAGTAAGGTAGAGAGAATCGAGACAGCCTATCATGTTGGCAATCGACCATTCGCCCCGAGGTCATTCGTCATGTTAGAGACCTGTATACGCGAAGGAATATGAGGTCGTATTCTCCTATCCTTGGCGGTCTGCTGTTGCCTTGCCATAGGAATCTCATCTCTGCAAGGGTAAAGGCGGTGCATAATGGCAGAATGAATTCGTAGTCTCGGTCTCTCGGAGGCTGCGAGTTCCAACGGCTCGTAGGTTTTTTTCCGGTCATGACCGAAACAGTCCTTGTAGGCGCGCTAGGGGGTGAGTACCTGCCCGCAAGACCAATAAGAGGTCTCTTTTCGTAGTCATCAACTGAGTCTTCAGCATCTGTCCCCCACAGGGCCCGGATATATTTACCGTGGAAGACCCTCTCGACCCTGGCAGGGGAACCCCCTTGTATTCCATTTTTCTATCCAAAATTATATGCATACCACAATACCTAGGGTCGATATATTATATAGCATAGCTGCTGCTGCTCCTTAGCCTTTCACGAGTGCCTTGTCAGCCAAGAGTTGTCCGATCTGGCCATTTTCTCGTTTCTCAGTCTCGCCAAGCCTTTCAGCGCAAATTTCCTTTTGCAGTAAGCGGCCTTACTCTAGCCGCCATCTATTCGGTACTCGGAAGCCGCGTCAACGCGATCAACGGAGAACGGCGGGCGGTGCAACCGCGCTTTATTCTCAATAATCCAGGTGTTGTGAAACGGAGCTTGCAAAATCTGGGGAGGAGTTGCTGGTTGATTATAGTCTACACAGAATTATCTGCATTCAGTTTTTGATCCCAAGGGGTGGAGTTAAATATCCACGGTTTAAAATCTTTTAAGACACTCAGAAACAGGTAGTACTAGTTTAAGTCCTGTTGAATTAGATTACCGCTTACCGAATGGAGAAATTCGGCCATTCCTTCGATAAACCTTCCAGTATAGGTGATTCGGCCAAGATGATCATGCAT